ATTTACAGCTTTGACAAGGAGGGTCCACAGATACCTCATTATCACCACCTGGCTGAAGAGGCCAGGAAATTTGGGGTCACTGGGACACCAAGGGTAATAAACAAGAGATTAGATCTAAAAGCCAACAAGAGGAAGACAACTTCAAAGGCAGGGCAATATACAGACACACACAGGCAAGACAGTTTAATTAGCCAAACGGGAAGCCATGTCACATATAGTGTAACAAAGACAGAAGTGAGTGTAGGAATTCAGACAGTAGAATTTCCTCCATCTTTAGGAAGCTGCTTTTCCCATTGGAGCAGAAAAGATGCAGGAGGAGGACGGATGGATAGATGGACCAATAGAACAGCATGAGAGGACCGGACCAGCCTACAATGGCACATTTGAAATTGTATAAAATCAACTGAATGGAGGAGGACAGTGTTCCTTCTCGTCCTGAAGACGAGTGTAACGGTTTTGCTGTTGAGGTCAGGGCTTCAGATAGAGATGGAACCCAGAGCTCTGTAAATTGCTTTATTCGATGGTCTGTTTAGTTATGATAATAAATGTTTGAAAATTGATATTTGATTCTGATTATTCTTCATGAAAGAACACGCTACAATATACAGGAAACATAGGCACAATTTCAGTGTTTCCATAGCCACAAGTGGAGCTGATAGGACTGGTGCAAAAAGAGCAGGGTGGTGAATGATGTCTGACCGTTGTGAATGTGGGCACAGACCTGGCACTTAACCTTTGAATTGCCTAATTAAACCACAAAGCCATTATGAAACCAGTGATTAAATCAAACTTGTTCCACCAGGGAAATGAAAGATGCCATTTAATGAGTTTTTTTTTTTTTAACAGGAAGCTTTTAAATGTATTTAATTGTCTTTGGATAACTGGTGAATCTTGATTCATTTATAGGGCATCAGCTTTGAATTAAAGGCCTCAATTTCCTGCATGAATTCATAAGTAGACACTAGGTTTTACTAAAATGGACCATTCATTGTTTATTATTATCTGTACAGTGCAGAAACTGAACACTTCACCACAGTAACATCACACCTCAGTAATATAATTAGTGGAACCTGCAAAAAGAGGCATGTCCAAATCTAAAACCTAGCTAGCTCTTTAGAGATGGTAAATGCACTTGAACTGTTTAATGCTTTTTCAACACATTCAAAGCTCTTTGCACTATATTTCCATTCACACACACTCACACTGATGGAGTGGATCTGCCAACCCTTCGATTAGGAGATAACTCTGTTGTTTTCTATGATTTTCAGTGTGCTTGACATTCTGCCTCTCTTCCACAAGTTGTGCTGATGCATTCAGATTTCTGATGATGTTCTCAGTGTCTCTAAAATAATCAATTACACATGTAATTTTTGTGTTGTGCTGGCTGTGTTTTGTTTGAGGCAGCGGCGTAGCATGCTGGAAGCTATGTTCCCGCTCATGAATGCTAATGGTTAAATCATTTCCTACTCACAGGCTCCCTTAATGTCAGCCAATGTAACCATATGTGTTGCCACAAGGCTCCTCTTCTCTCTGCTCCCACTTACAACATAACAAAAAAGATGATAAACAGCTGTCTTCTTAATATGATGCACGTTTGTTTTTAAATTTTGTACCCTTTGTCAGAATATGACCCCTTTCACGCTACCAGACCACTCCTGACATTTACCATGACATTTGACATTCTCATACCTCTATGAGCACATCCAGTGGCTGCATCTATAAAATAACATAACAAGCAAAGTAAAATATTCTTTGTGAAATACAAGCCTTCAAATTCAGGCACCATGTCTGTTACAAAAATACTGTGGCTGTTAGCAATGTTCACTTCATAGCCAACAAGTCTGCTCACCTGGTGATTGAAATAGGTGAGAACACATCATAAACCCTACATAAAGGGAAAGGTATCTGCTCACTCCAACAGACAACCAAACTCCCCCTGAAAATCCTGTGCTGAGCAAAGAACAATAATGTGAACGTCCCTTTAAACGGGATCAGTGGGCAGGCAAAGAATGTCTTTAACGTCTCATCTCATTTAGTCGTTTACTTGGTTTAACCACAGTCACAATCTTTCTTCAACTTCAGCAAAGTAGTTAAACTAAACCAAACCTAAACACAACAGACAGTGACCATAGACGTGGCTGATCGGAAAACCCTCATCACACAAGGTATTACGTTTGTCAGACATGAGCGTTAGTTGATTCTAAGCCTAAAATGAAAATAAGTAATATCTTCTAGGACCAAATGTGATGTGTGGACATGATTATTAAGATGCGTTTTATACTGATGGTCCCAGCGTGGCACAAATGCTCTTTCTTCCTCTCTACAATGCTGCTCTAGACTAAGCAGAGGACACCGACTCAGACACAAAGACAGGCACCTCCCTGACAATTCACTGACAATATATGTGCTGTTGTTTAAGAGAAAGCCTCATTTAGAGTCACACCCCTCATGTCAGGAGATTTGAGAATAAAGCACCATAGGAAATGAAAAAAAAAAACTCCTGGGGCAAGACATGCATGAATTGTGTTGAAAACACAAAAGCACTTGACAAACAATTGATACAATGTTTTGCATGAAGTCTGCATGAATACTGAAATTACTGCAAAATGCCACAGGAGGCTTCCAAGCAGATGTTTCAGTTGTCCTTGTGAGTCCTAAAGAGCATTGTCCAATTAAATGATTACATTACAATCCACGTCGCCACACCGCTGGCTGCATGCATATGTGATTCATATCAGTTACATAATATTGAACTGAGTCTGCTCAGCCAACTCCAATTCAGTGCAGCAGCTGATTATCTTGGCCTTTCATTGGTTAAGTCCCAGTTTTGGGAGTCTGCCAAACAGCTTTCTGATTCTGGTTGTGTGACTTAGGACAGTGCTGGGCTTGCTACTAAAAATGTGATTTCACTATGGCAGAAGAGATTTAACAGGTTTAACAGAGGATGATAATCTGTAGTCAGACACGAGCTAAACTGGACCGAAGCCACAGCTATTGCAAAGAAAACCAAAAATCCATTAATCAAAGAATATCAGATAGATACATAATGTAAATTATCATTAGTTACAACCCTGATTCTGAGGATCACCAAAGTTTGCAAAGACAAGAAACATCAGCGCCAAATAAAACTCTAACCCATCCAATAGTTACTGTGATATTACACTCAAAATCCCAGACTGCTAGAGGATATATCAGTGGAGGACCAAAGACTTTATGACTATAGAAAATGTGTGGAAATCCACCTGGTAGAGGTAGATATGATTCAGGGGAAAAGCAAAAGCCCTGACCTCCTGGTGAAGGAGAGGATCATCAAAGTCAGGAGGACGAATGCTAATCATTACATTTGTTGAGATATTTCAGTCTGGACCAGACTGGCTGACTTAACTAACAGACCAACATTGCCAGAAATAGTTACAATCTTGTATTTTAACAGATGTCGTTCTTAGATACTATTCCAACTTTTAATGTACAAAAATCCATATATGTGTTGCTGGAGAAAAGTCGCTTGAATCGTTTAGATCTCACTTTACCGACTTTGGTAATTCAGAATGGATAACCATAGCTGACTTTAGCTAACTCATAGTGGACCTAGAGTAACAGACTGAAAAATGACTCTGCACCATGATCTCAGCTCTTGGTCAAATAGATAGATTGATAGATATCTATAAGTGATGTGTTTTCAGCATTTCTATGCATACATATATGCATGGATATTGTATAATCATGAGCTGTTTCATATACAGTATACTTGCAAATATAACAGGCTTTGTGCTGCAGGGACTTGACTGCGGAAAGGAGGATGCTGCACAAACTGCTGATCATAAAGAACATCTCACATCTCCTCCATGACCTGCTGGTCAAACAGTGGAGCAAGGAAGAGCTCAGTAAGAGACTCGGTCAGTTCTGGATGAGGGCTTGCTGAATGGTGTGAGCATAGCTGTTCAACTGGGAGATGTTGGAGTGACGTGTTAGACAGCGTCTCCACCACCATCATCAAAACACCACATGAGGAAACATCTGTTGGAAGAACGGTGTTCATCCCTCCAGTAGAGTTCAGGGATTGGAGAGTCAATGCCAAGACACATTTATTGATCTATCTAAGAAAACATTCATGGAAATACTGTAGCAAAGCTGAAACCTGGCTAAATTTCATTTCACTACTGGATAAGTCTTACTTAGATTTTAGGAAATGTTTTTCTTTCCTGCTCCAGTTCATTTCCTTTGTTGATATTTTTTGTCAAGACAGGTACTGGACGCAACCCCAAGGGTGAATCATCCTCCACTGTATTTGTCACTCTTTTATTGCAGCTGTTGTTGTTCACTCTTTTCCACCACAATTTCCAGTTTCCCTTGAACATGACTTTTGCCCTCACTAGCGTGAATTGTAAAAAAAACACCCAGAGAAAACGAACTAGAAAAGCGCTGTGCTACTGCTGTGGTGTCAACAATGTTGTATTTGTCACCAGTGTCAGAAGAGCCTTGAATGTCTAACTTTATTGCCCAGCTTTTTAAAACTTTTCTAGGTACATTTTTTATTTTATTTTATTTTATTTTTACTCTGGGGCTGATTTTACTTTTTGAATGTGGAGAACAGAGTAAGTTGAATTGTACTTGTCCAAGACACAAGCACATCAAAGTATTTAGGATTTTTCTCTGTTGGTGCCTTAGTGATATTGTTCATTTGGGAAGCCAGTATAATTACATGGAACAATAATAATTAGCCCATTTGTTATGTATTTGAAGTTATAACAGACCCTATTTTCAGGTAAACGGTCATCTGAGCCAACTTTCATTGTTAAAAACTGAAATCAGTGCCTTAAACATCAAAAGGAGTCAAGGCTGTGCAACTGATTGTGCGCATGCTGCTTAGATGATATGATGCCAATAAATAAAAAAATAAAAATTATAACCATTAGCTATTCAACTCAGAGGAAGACTTCTTTGGACTGAAACAAGCTGTGATGCCAAAAGGAAACAGTTGCTTTAAAAACACTAATTAATATTAGATGGGTTAATTGGGACATTATACACCTGCCCCTAACATGCAATTAAGCCAACTTGGAAACGTGTGTTTATAATAAAAATAAATTAATAAATAAAGAATACAACAGACTTATACAGGCGCACAATCAGCAAATGGTGATTTTGAAAAGCGGGCAAAGTGACACTTGGTAAAAACCTTCTTAGATAACAATACTGTAGTGTAGGTGTTTTCACGTGATTCTATTAAAACAGGCTGCCTAATTTGTCCAGTGACTGATGGTAAATCATACTCCTTCTAATATACAGGGTAAGGGTTAGATTATCCCTTATTTTTCTAGAGTCCTACAGGCAACTCCAGCCATCCATTCATCTTTCATCCATTCTTCGGTGTCTCTTTTAGGCTAATAAGGCTATTTACTCATCAGGGTCACTGCAGACAAAGACCTGCTGGGAGACGGGAGGACTGGAGTCTGTAAGCCAGCATGTATGGGACCAAAGGCGGGGACACAGACAGGTCGCCTGTCCCTCATGGCGAACACTAGTCATTAATAGAAAAAGTCATCTCGCTTAGTGCCACCAACCAACAGGACTCATCAAACTGGTGCGCATTGCTATTGGACGTGGGGAGGGTTGGTCTCCAGCACTCCGCCGCTTGTTATTCAAAGGCAGGGAGCGCTTCGGACCATTCGCTCCTCGTTGCGCGCTGGATATGGATCAGGACGCAGCGCGTCTCCCCGCTGTCTCCCGCGGACAAGCTGCACTCTGTGGCGCATAAAAGGCGCACAAATGAACCACCGCCCTCCCGGTTCCACCGGTGTGCAATGGCTTAAGAGAAGAGACATGAGTATCCGGACGGAGGACAGCATCACCTTGTGCCAAAGGGCTCTCCAAATCGTTACGGAACTTTGTCTCACGGGGAACGTAGACCGGGAGAAATGCTCGGATATTTTTCCTCTAGAGAGCACCTTACCAGGTAAAGGACACGCAGGTAAATTGAATAAAGTCATTATTTCCTTTCATTAATACCCTCAGTTAATTACTTTTTTCTGTCCGCTTGAAATAAAGATGGCTTAGTGAACCTAGACTTCACCTCTCACTTGTTAAAACTTATCATGGCATCGCTTGGCTCAGTGTATTGAAGTGATTCGCTACCTGTTACGCATCATGCTGCAGCTCAGTCCAGACTGCTGAAACAGCAACAGGTGGACGATAGACTGAAGAAATTTGTTTTGTTGTCTCCTCTTTCTTTTACTTGTTCATTTTACAAGCTGCAGAATCTGACAAGCATCACTTTGCTTAATCCGTTTTGAAAAGCTTTAAGCTTCCTTGCATATGATTCACAGTACAAACTTTGCATTTAAATAATCAATACAGCAGGAAATGTCAGGAGCAGATGGTAGCACCAAATGTTTTTTTTTTCCTCTTCAGCCTCTGATCATGTTTTCTTGATGTGTGGCTCCTTGGATGTGGTTTTACATGACTTCACATGGTCTTTCTATATCAAACAGGTGCATATGCTGTCCCTTCTTTCTTACAGCTTGCTTTGTCTCCCTTTTTCTCTCTTGCATGTTTGTCTCTCATATTTTGTCTCTTGTTTACTTCTCCTTTCCATTTTTCCATGTCTACTTCTTTGTCCTCCTCTGTTGATCACTTCGTGGTTATTTGTAGACATCTCCATTAGTCTCCTTGCTGTGGTTGTGGGTTTCTGTGGCCTCGCCTTGTTGGTAGTCTCTCTCTTTGTCTTTTGGAAGCTGTGCTGGCCCATTTGGAGGAGCAAGGCTCTGTCAACCCATGCGGAAAATGGCCTCCATGTGGGTTTCCCTGAGGTACCTCAACCCAACTCCCCGCTGGACACAAAGTGTAAAATGGTAGAGGTGGAAAAGAAGCCCCCGCAGGAAGTAAAGGTGAATGGACGCAGCTCTGTCAAGCTCCAGGAGGCAGCCATGAAGATCAGCCAGACATCTCCGGACATTCCTGCCGAGGTGCAAACAGCCCTGAAGGAGAAGCTCAACCAGCAGGCTAAGATCCAGAGGCAGACCACTGAGCCAACCTCCTCCTCCAGGTACCCTACATCAACCCACTACAGTCACAGCCCTCCCTCCCTGTCCCTGCACTGTGGAAATAATAACAATGACACACATTTATCTGGGGCTTACAATTACACTAGAGTAGTAGCATTTTATTTTTACTTTTGTTTGTTTTCCCCACTTATACAACAATAGGATGCACAAAAATGTTGCCTCCACAATGCAAAAGCTGTCCTGTGATTGTGAACACTGTCCTTGAGGTGGTTTGGCATGTCAGAGCAAACCATCAGAGACTGGCTAATGACCTTGGAACACCATTGTATGTGTCTCTTTCTCTCTATGTCTGACGAGAAAAAAAAAACACCTCCTGTAGATTCATCAACCGGGGCCATTGTATATCTCCTTGCTTCAGTTTGAACCCTATAATCACTTGTACGTGTGAGTCAAGCTGCTATGGTAACGGTGGGAAGCAACCCCAGTAATTAAACAATCAGCTCTTGCTTGTCTTTGTTTTCCAGCACTGTGTTTAAACTAGAACGTCCATAATTAGCAGTGCTGTGGACTGGGAGCTGTCACAGTGGAAGGTTGGCTTCTGGAGAAACACACCAGCCAAAAACACCCAGTTGGGCTCATTTTCTCGAGAGGAAGTTATTACTGACACTTGCTTTGGTTTGTCATTAGCCTTGTTAATTAGATTATATTGAGACCGAGGTCTGGCTTTCACTGATAATTTCCTTTATGAATGATAAAAGCTGAAAAGACCTTTAACAAGAAATATAGTCTTCGATAAAGCCCAAATACTGTTTTAGGTCCAATCTCACAACGCCTTATCATTTAATGAAACTACAATAACAAGATATTTTTAACCAAAGTCTGTCCGTGTTTTTTTTTTTAACTTTATCAACATGTACTGACTGATTGAAAGAAGTGATGTCCTTTGTGATGGTCTTCTATGAGCCACCTTTACAAACAGGCCGATTAACCCAGTGACTGGACCAAGCACATCTGCAACTAAAGACTATTTTCATTATCGATTTGGGGTATAAAATCTCAGAAAATTGTGAAAAATGCCACAATCACATTTTCCTGAAGGCCGAGGTGACATTTTCTGTCTGGCTGACAGTCAGTCTATCATAAATCCCTGCATGAATTTTTTCCATCTGCAATAAAAGTCAATAAAGTGTTTCAAAGGATTAAAAGTTGTCAACATAGCAAACCATGAGGATCTATGTTCAGTTGGTTTTCCATGTGTTCTCATTGTACTTCAGGCACTTTTTCCATTTTTTCTTGAGGTTTGTACTCTTTGTAACAAAACATACCCTTCTGTGTTGTTTACAATGCATGAGTGTAGTATGTAATTTTCAGCTGCGCCGTTTGGTTGGACCATGGCTGTCAGATCATTGTGATTGCCTTCTTGTCAGAAAAAGAGCAAGGCCAGTTGCTAGGTGACGAGACAGGCGAGTCGAATACAGCTGCGGTTTTCTCAAAAGATGTCAACATAAATTTGCAACATTCACGTAATCTGTAGAGCTCAACTGTGAATACTGGTGATGTGGTGGTAAAAATGGAAAAATTAATCTTTCAGTTTGGCCACTTTATTGCCTGTTTCTACATTCAGGTAAAACTAGCTGCACTCACTAAGGAAGATTAAGAGTTGGATTTTCTTCATCATATAATTGGCAAGGTCCCTTTAAGCTACAGTATTTTTTTTAAATATATACTAATTTTGTGTACTTTTGTCCCTGAAGAATAAAACAAAGATGATCTGATCTACTTTACCAGATTGTAATCTGTCTAAACATGTACCATGAGCTCCACATTATTATGCATCCTGCTCTTTAGATGGACTTCTCTCGTGACAAACCATTAGCATCTATCATAACAAAGCCGCTCATGCATAACACTGATGCTTGAGATATTTACCAGATACCTTCTACCTTTCCAACAGGCACAACTCATTCCGGCGCCACCTGCCTCGTCAGATGAATGTCACTAGCTTTGACTTCACCATGGACACTGTGCCTCTCCGCCAGTCTTCTACTGTGAGCATCGGAAGAATAAAACCTGAACTCTACAAACAGAAGTCTGTGGACTCAGAAGATGAGGGCAAAGAGCCCACAGAGACTTGTGGAAAGCTGAGCTTTTCACTGCGTTACGACTACGAAGAGCAGGCTTTGGTGGTGAGAATCCTCAAGGCCTTGGACCTGCCTGCCAAAGACTTCACAGGCACCTCTGATCCGTATGTGAAGATCTACCTGTTGCCAGAGAGGAAGAAGAAGTTCCAGACACGTGTCCATCGCAAGAATCTGAACCCCATGTTTGACGAGACCTTCTGTTTCCCTGTGGCGTACGACGAGCTCTGCAACCGCAAGCTGCACTTCAGTGTCTACGACTTTGACCGCTTCACCAGCCACGATATGATTGGCGAGGTGGTGGTGGACAATCTCTTTGAACTCTCTGATCTTTCCAGGGAGGCGGTAGTGTGGAAGGACATTCACGCAGCAACTACGGTAAGTTGGCGTTCACACTAACAGACTGCCAGATCCTCATATATGCGCACATTGTGAGAAATGTCACGCCAGAGTTCTGTGCTATAGCTGAGGAAGAAACACATACTGGATGGGAAAAGTCTAAACATGAAGGATGACTTCCAAGAGCTTGAATTCATCACCACTGTTCCACAAAAGTAGCAGGTGGAACATGATGAATAATTCAAATGCTTTGGGAAATGCATGACATCAGCCACATACCCACACAAATTTTCCAGAAACTGCTGAGTATCCTACAGACATAAATATAGCAACAGAGTAATATTATCCAAATACTAGACATATACAATCAGTAGTTATTGTAATAAAGCAGTTAAACAAATGTGGTATACAGCTGTATCATGTACACTAGTATGTCTTCATGTAAACTCTCTAAAAACACATAGTAATTTAGCCCAGAATGCATTTCACTCCTACATTAACACTAATAACAGTTTATTCTGCTAGGGGCAGCTTCAGTTACTTTGTGCACTAACACTTGAAATTAAGGTGTTGGATGTATCATTCATAAAGTGTGTGTGTGTGTGTGTGTGTGTGTGTGGTGTCAATAGCTTTTCCAAAGGTTTCTAGAAGTTCCACTGCCAATGTTACTGGAAAATGATCTTTCTATTCAGTGATATGTTTGATTCATATTTAAAGTAACAATGTATAATTTCATGCATGTCTGCAGTTATACAGATTACTATAATAATGAACACTGAGTATTTAGTATCCCTAAAACATAGTCTTTAAATTTGCAGCTAATGATAAAGATGCTTGTTCAAACGTCAGAGGATTACCAAAGTTAATACGGTTTATCCTCAGAAGGACACGGATATCTGAACTGAATGTCTTAAAAATTTGTCTAAAATTTGTTAAGATATTTTGCCAAAAAACAAAAATTTCAACCTCATGGTGGATCGGTCAAAGCAGCTAGCATTCATTCTCTGGTGACCATGAATTTCATAGCAAACCATCTAATAGTTGCTGAGATATTTCTGTTTGCTTTGGCATTTATATTCACAGAATGTGGTTAAAGTATTTAAAACGCACAAACTACACTCTGTCTTCTTTCTTCTTTGTCCTCCAGGAGAGCGTAGACCTGGGAGAGATCATGTACTCATTGTGCTACCTGCCCACAGCAGGGAGAATGACCCTAACAGTCATCAAATGCAGAAACCTCAAAGCCATGGATATCACAGGCTCTTCAGGTATGAGATGCGGCTCAAAAGCTCAAACTAAGCCATAAATCAAACTTAGTTGAGACAAGACAGCAGGTGGCCACTTAGAATGGAAATGGGGAAGAAAAGGTATAGGAGAGGCCTGTGAAAACAAATTATTCAGAGTATTAGCTTCTGTCAGAATAGGGCTATAACATGTCTTAGCTGTATATTGACTGTGAAAAAGGAAATAGTTTGGATTTTGTAGAACTTCCACATACCTGAAAGTTGAAACTGATTTCCCCCTTAGCAGTTGTTCTTGTTGATATCACCCCATTTAACTCTACAGTAAATTCAACATTTGTACAAATGAACAAACTCCTAAATGACAGCGCATGTGTCTCTCAGATCCATACGTGAAGGTTTACTTGATATGTGAGGGGCGGAGGTTAAAGAAGCGAAAAACAACAACCAAGAAAAGCACACTTAACCCGGTGTACAACGAGGCCATCATCTTCGACATTCCTCCAGAGAACGTGGAACAAGTTAGTTTGTCCATCATGGTGATGGATTATGATCGGTGAGTTAAGCAGCCATTGCAGTTAATCCTCCACATCCTAACATGCTAATTAAATGCTGTATGTTATAACTTGCAGTCAGCAGGGAGGAGCATTTTGGGAGCATATAACAAAATCACACAGTGTACCAACAAAAGCTTTCAAACATAGAAACTTATTTTATAAGGGGTGTAATGATGGTTAGATTCTTCAGCATCCCATTTCTTCCCACTTCTTTTCAAGATCTTTAAGATAAGACTGGATAAATATGCATTTGCACTCTTCACTTTAGTCATGATTTTATGTGTTCCAGGACTATTAGAAGCATGACTTTGTTAAAGTATGTTAATGTCTGTGTTTTACTACTAACAGGGTTGGACACAATGAGGTGATTGGTGTGTGTCGCACTGGGCCAGACGCTGAGGGCCTTGGACGAGATCACTGGAATGAAATGCTGGCTTACCCGCGGAAGCCCATCACACACTGGCATGCTCTGGGGGAGGTACGTCTGCTTTTATTCCCAAATTCTTTTTGCATCCGTCTCAAAAAACTCACTTTTACTTCTGAATGTAACAATAATCAGAGCAGATCCTGTGCTATGCAGTGTGAGGCAACAAAATATTAGACGGGCAATTTATTCAAGTGATCCCAGCTCCGTCTAGTCGAGCGCCTTTGTTTTTTTATGCAGATTACATTATTTGGTCTTTTGGTTTTGAATTTTAAAATTAACCTATAACATCATTAGTAACATTGGTGATGTGGTGGTCAGCAAAAAGTCTGTTTACAGTGTAAATATTCTTGTTTTTACAGTTAGATTTTTAAAATATTTCTAAATTTTAAGGGACCCTAGCCGACCTGCAGCATAATCTGATAATCTCTCAATCTGTGTCATCAGTAGAGTCAGCAAATGTGTTTTGCGGTGGAAACAGCTAGCCTAGCTTTGTCAAAGGAATTTTACATGTTATCAATGTTTTTTCCTCTTTTGCTACCCCCACTCCCCACCTGGCGAATAGGAAAATACAGGTGATTACCTTTTTTCAGTGATTAAACTACTTAATGCTTTGATGAAAACTGTGATCATAGGCAAAAATCGACCCTGTGTAACTCTTGTCAAAACACTGGGATCATAAACTCTTGCAACGAGTTTGCAACAGTCAGAATAGTCTTGTGGATGCTTGTGCTGTGGTAAAGTACTAGTGACAATAAAGTCACACCCTCTGATGACAATGAAGTTGCACTGACCAATAAAAAAGCAAGGGATGGGTGCACTAATGAGCGCGTACCAATGCGTACACTTGCCTGTGAGCGTGAATGTATCATGTGTTCAGATGTGAGAACAAAGCTGTATATGTACTAGGGATGTAACGATATTTGTAATTTCGTGGTATTGTGATAGGGAAATTTTTTTTGATTCTGTCGTGGGACTTTGACAGTATCTACCAGGACATTACATATGGTTATTTTGCTACTATAACTGCATTCAGGTCACAGAATTTGAAACCGACATAATGAAAGTTCCATTGTCAACTTTTACAACCAATTTTCAAATACTGTCAGATGAAGGCAATGCTAGCCCAGTTTAGGACTGAGACAGTCATGGATATATGTATCTCTCAGAAACATTTGGAACATGGCTGTGCACAACACTTTAATGGAGATGGGCAAACAAACCAGGTGCACTTATGCTAAACCAACAACTTATTAACCACCCTTAAAGTCTTTTCCCTTGAAAATGTAGGCCATGATATTTGAAAAACACTTCCCGTAAAGCACAAATCTCACCTTTATGTGACTTGTCCTGGCATCTTTTGGCACCTGCTTCTGGTGCACCAAGCCGCACTTTGCACACTACTGCCTCCGGTGGTTGGGAGGGTACTCTCTTCAACTGGTCCAATAGTGAGAGCCCAACCACCGGTCAGCACAGCCATCCAACAAAAAGTTAAACCTACATAGGGAGTAATAAAACATTGATATTACACCATGAGTGTTTTCTTTACAAGATCCACCTGTAATATTATTTTATTTTATTTTATAAAAAATACTGCTACTGACTGCTGCAGTTGCACAAATAGTTCAGTCATTCAGTGCCAATGACAATTCGTGCCAAGTTTTTGCACATGATTATGTCATGGCTGGCTATTTTTATCTTAATACAGAAGGAAAGCAAGAGCACTTTAACTTACAAAGGAAAATCGTACAAAAAATTCTCATGACAAATATTGTATCATGGACTCGTTATTGTGACAGTATCATACCGTAGGTTTTTATATCCTTACATCCCTAATATTTAGCTATATATCCTTGAAAATACTATTTGGACCCTACCAAGCATACACATGGACAGTAGAAAGGTTGATTATTAGTCCTGATGCATTTTGATATCATTTACATGTAACTACAAGATAAATAAAATGCTTTGCCATAGCCACTGTTTAAGATTTTGCTTATATATAGCTTTTTATGAGGGGACTGTGCCCCTCACATTAAACTTCCATCTGTGATACTTGCTTTAAGCTGCTCATGCATTCTGAGTTTGCTATTTGTCCATGATCACAGTGTATCCTCAGGACTAGAGAAATACCTGCTGAGTTACCAAAACGGGTGACCTGATCTAAAGAGTGATGTTTATGATATTTTACCTTGCAGTGGCAAGGAAGAGCAGCAAGCTTTGAGAGTCAAGGTTCATGTCCTTCACCCAAACCTCCACAGTCACCCTGATGATCACAGGTAGAGTGATAACGCCACCCCTGTAAGAAAACAGACATTTGTTTAGTTTCTGAGAAGCTGTGTTGGCTGTGAGTGTATTGTGAGCATGTTGTATGAATTCAACACGTTTGTGAACAAGATTGTATTGAAATTGCTTTTATTCATTCATCTGAACATGTGTTCAAATGTTCTACAGAGCTGGAATATGCACAGAATTAACTGTCATTAACTCCAAGGTTTTGTTTTCATACATTTATTTTGAAATTCTCAGAAAGACTTTGTTTGCCAAACATTTAACAGACCAGGTGAATGGTAGACTTCACTGCAAGAAGTCCTCAGCGATTTTGACTTGCAGCTGTATCAACCATTTCAATATTTTAAGCAACATTTTTCTGGCCCTAGAGCTCCTTAGCGAGTTAGTGTTTTACTTTGAAATAAGACAAAGTTAAAGGGCTAAGCTGGTCAGTGCTATGAAAACTTTTGCTTGATTTAAAAAAGCCAATAAAACCAGTGAGTCATGGTCCAGGTTGTGGTTGTAGAATGCAGGTAACACAGCATCTACAAGGGCTGCGTAAATCTTAGAAAATTCATCAGTCACAGCTCTTACAGATGTGCCAAACTGACCTTGAATCAGCCATTGTTGCCTGTTGATATTAGGAAAGTCAACAGGACACAGATTTAGAACAACTGTAGCAGATACATGTAGCAAACATACATTTGTACAAAGAGATAAACAGTGAAGTCAAACTGTGTTAAAAATAAGTTCCATATTTATTTTTATATTCACCAGATTGATTTCAGCACATATTTGCATATTGAACTAGCAACAATAGTAAGTAATTAGTTGGATTCATGCTGTTCTTATTCCTTATAACTGTACTGAATATGATGAAACTGTTGTTTATCCTGCAAATGTTCCTCATGTTGCAAATAAAACCAAAACTGAAGTAATGCTAGGGAACAATAACATTTTGTTGAGATGTTGGCTTTACATTGTACTTACTGTACCAGTTGGCGGTAAAAAGGTAAAAGATCTTTATGTGGAGGATATCAACAGACTAATTATCAATTTTGTTGTAAATATATGGAGAGAATGTTCCAATAATTATAATAATACTATGTAAATGATAATTAAAGCATTTAGTTTGAATTGGCCATTTGCTAAACCCTAACTAGGTACAGCAGGCCTCTCAGGCTTTGGTTGTTTCTTTTTGACTCTTCCAAAACCAAAAATATGAGAACAAAAGTGTAAAGATTGGATTAAACAGTGTGCATTTCCCCTTTAGCATTAGCATGATAACTCACTCAATATCTAGTGTAGTCTCCTAACACAGCCAGGAGCATTACATACTACATACAGCTAGCTGCTGTGTTATATTTCCCCACTGTGTAGAATGCTACTATAGGCTATATCACAGTTTAGACATTTTGTGGGCCTTTAAATGTTTTGGTGGGGATGTACTTCCACAGAACAGTGTTACATTTGCCAAACACACTAGCTAGGCCTCCTCCAAAATGCCAAAACCCATCTTGCTTGTACGGATATGTTGGTCAAGCAGCAAAATAGTGTAGTATTAGAACAAAAATAACATCTCATCTTAGGTCTTTCCTTATCATATTTATAATACTTGAACTAAGCAGTTGTACACTGAAATATAATAACAATGTCATGTCTTCAACATTGATCTCATCTAGCAAGGATGCAGATTATTTACCTGGGACATGCTTCTCAAGCCGCCGTTTTTTTAGCATTATATCATGGTCTGGTAAATGGTCTTATACTTGTATAGCGCCTTTCTATGCTTTACAGCACACTCAAAGCGCTTTCACACTATTTGGCCATTCACCCATTCGCACTCCCAAACACACACACATTCACACACCGGTGACATCACCGGGAGCAACTGGGGGTTCAGTGTCTTGCTCAAGGACACTTCGACATGTTGACTGGACAAGCCGGGAATCGAACCGCTAATCCTCCGGTTAGGAAACGACCCGCTCTACCTCCTGAGCCACAGCCGCCCCCATCATGTACTGTATGCAGCCATCAGGTTCTCTGTTTAAAACAAGTCAGTCTGAAACATAAAAAAGTCAGCTGGAGACAGCATTATGGTGTTTAATTAGCTAGGAGGTTTAAGCTGATTAAATCTGGTAGCAACAGCTGTTATTTCAGGCAACGAAATCAATGCTCCCCAGCTAAAAATTAGAAGCCCACCCCAGGACCCAGTGTTTTTAAAATTACTTTTAAAAATTTAATTTCAAGTGATAAATCTGGTACTGTTATCGCAGTAAAGTGCAAATGTGGTGCATGGAAATGGAAAGCTTGACAGGTGTAGTAAAATTAACAAAGCAGGGGTGAAGGTTAGCTATTGGCCAGTTGACTAACACAGATAGTAATTGTGTCTCACTTTAAAAACGTGGTAGAAAAAAGCCAAACCCTTCCTCCACAGTTACACATTCAGGGAATTACTATCCATAAAAGAACACACTCAAACATTTGCAAATATTATGCGTATTTTTACATAAAGCCATATGAAATTAAGTTCAATGCATCTGACACTGAACATTGACTCAGCTTCTCCTTATTTGTGAGTAATAAGAAACTAACATAGCAAATAGAAAAAGGCTATGTACTGTTATCTTACTTGCACATGCATAGAATGACAATTTCTTCCCTCTGCACTGCCCTTAAAAACAATAAGAGGTATTTCTGTTTTTTTTAGCACACCAGTCATCACTTTAAAAACACACTTATTGGGGGAAATGCAAGTGATGTGTATGTAGTTCAAGCTTTGTGTTTACATTTGTGTGTGTGTGTGTGTATGTGTGTATATGTGTTAAATAGAGTTGGGAGGGGGTTGGCCTCATACATTAGGGACAGTTATTTTGGCTCCAAATGTAGGGTTGTAAACCTATGGGTATAGAGACAATTTATTTCTATTGTTTGGTGATGATTTTGAACAGCTCAGACTTGTAACCGAGTGAAATTTATACACGTTCTGTAATGGTTGTGAACAGTTAGTCAAATTAGAGACCTACTGAAACCAACTCTACCTTATCAAGTTATTCCATGTTTAGGAGTTTAGAGCTTTGAGCTGTAACTGTTTGCATATTGGTGGAATCTGTATTGAACAAGAACAACTGCAGCTACTGTCATGATGTGTACAGTTTGTGATAACTTTTGTAACAATTTAAAGTAAACCTTTGGGATATAATTTATTGTATTTGTTTCATTTGTATTTTAACAAATAAAAACGAAAAATCACAGCATGCCTCTCTTTCTCTGTCCGGGAAGGCAGAATTTCCCAAAGGGAACTTTGTCAAAGTGCTGCTTTGCTACAAAGCGGATGTGCATCAGCACTGGGGAACAGAATGACCCTGTGGCTTATGAGCTCACTAACATCATCGCTGGACAAATTTGCTCCTCCAAAATCAACACACTTTGCCTAGTAGCATTGTTTCACTTCAGACAACAGCATGGGATTACCTCACTCATTTCACTTAGACAACTGCACTGGCAGACTGGTGGTTCCAGCTCACATGGTCATCCAGCCAGTCAAACAACCTTTTTTAACTCTTGCAGCAATGCAGTAAAACTTCACCCAGCAAAACCTGTGCTGGACTACATTATATTCAGAGATGTCTCTATATTTTTGTCCTCCCCAGCAACATACGCGAGGGTCAGAATATTAGGAACACCTCTGAATATAATGCAGTCCAGTACAACACCACCTTTAACTATGACCTCAATAATAAACATATCATTTAATTTATACATTTATGACAATTTCACCAAAAACTGAAACATTTTAGCTTCATAAACACAGATGTTAAGGCAGAAATGTTGCATTGGATTGCATAAAACTGTACAGGTGTAGTTAATAAAGTGGTCACTGAGTGTATAACTCTCCTTCAAGGATAAGGATAATCACCTTTATTTGGCCAAGTATGTTGCACACACAAGGAATTTGTTTCCAGTACAGAACCGAGGCAGCCATCTGCATCCAGTAGAGGATTATGTTGACATCGGCTTTCCCCGTCCAACCAAAACCGTACCTACAACAGGTGACACATCAGTTCCAGGTAATGTTAAGTTGCTTGACGGTTATTAATGTTAGCATGTAAGTAGATCCTTAAGTCTCTTTCATTAGGAAAAACAAATAAATACAGTTACTAAATGTTTTCATAATTATAATAAATTCATTTCAGATGCTAGGCTATAACATGACACAGCTGAGGAGGATTAAGATTTATTGTAGTAAGCATCAGTAACCAGGATACTAGTATTTATCATGTATACGTATATGTGCTGTACATATGCGGAATATGATCAAAAATCTTAATGACTCATATCATGTAAACACCTTGACCTTTCACCTTTGATCACCAATATTTAAACATTTCCTGCTTGAGTGCAAATGGACGCTCTTACCAAGTTTGAAGAAATTCCCTCAAGGCGTTCCTGAGATATTGCATTCACAAGAATGTGACAAACAACCTGAAAACATAATGCCTCAAGCCGTGGTTGTTGCTAGTCTGGAAGCATAATAAACACAAGTTCCTGAAATATATTAAGGCACAACCCCCCCTTCGCTGGCTGTTTGGTCAAAATCAAAGAAATGAAACAAAGTTTTTTTTTTAAATGTACTTCACATTCAATCTGTAGGTGACAACAGTGAGCCACCTTTCTAAACTCTACACACATATCTCCTGCAGTTGTCACACACATCATTCGATACACAGTCATTTTAATTACAGTTCCATCACACATTTGCATTTCTCCTTGTGCTGCTATATTATTGTAGTGTTGTCTAAAGCTAAGTGGTTTTTCAACATGCTGTCAAGACAATAATAACAATAATTTTTTGCTTCCGAACAAGGAGTGTTGTCTACATTTAAAATGGCATAATTACTTAGAGTCCTTCAGACTGCTGAACACCTTGACAAGCGATCACAGAAAGAGAACATTTCTTGTCAGCTTTTTCCACAAATGCAGAGCAAGGTTTCATTTTATAGTCTTTACAAATAGTCGTATTTACAGTAAAACAGTAAGTGGAATAAAATTGAACTGTGTAAGTAAAGTAGCCCTTGTAGAGCCTTCTCCAAACGCTTCTTATTAGCCTCTAAGGTCAGCAGGCGCTATCCTGCATCCTTCACTCACTGTTAACACTCAGCAAATAATGAATGCTAGATAACCACTCCACGGAGAAATACAAGGCACCGAGTTTGTGCATTTGTGCTTATAAGACCTTTAAGACAAAATAAAAAGCTGGTCAAATTAGATGGTTCCCTCTTTCTCATCTTGCACTTGTTTGATGGTGAAACATGAATCTCTTGATCTCTTGTGCACTGTGACATGCAGCACAACTTCCTTTTGATCCACAATATTGGATAGAAACAGACAAAAGGTGGGTGTTTCATTAGTTTCCTTGGCAATGAACGCTGCCCATTCTCTGAACACTAAACCCATATTTAGAGTGGAGTTGTAGCTTTAGTTAGCACAGCCTAATAGCTCCATGTGGTGCTGCATATAATTAAAGCTTTGTCATTTCCTGAATGCTTATTTGTGCCAGGCCTTTAGCACCGCTGCTCTATGAAGACTTAGGAGGAGATTGCACTGGCATCATAGCTAACGTCAGCAGTGCACCTGCAAGATTAGTCATTATTTCAGGGGAATTGTCCCTCCCAGTTTTAAATTGTCAACAAGGAAGATGTAGCATGAAAAGGAGAGGCTCTTTCTATTTCTACTCTTTGAAGATGCACCATGTTTTGAATTATGTCACTTTGTAAGATCTTTAATTAGTGATCACTAGCTTGGCAAAGAGCCTCGGTAATGCTAATATCATAAAAATTTGGTCATTTAATCAAAAACTATTCTCTGTATCAAATCCTGTTTTCAAATGAATTAAAAGTAAAAAGTAAGACCAAGGCATGTTATATCAAGTGAGGCTGGTACTGCAAATGCTTTTGTTGATCACATTTTCCAGATGACAACACTTGAGATCTGCTTCATTATAGCAGAATTTTCCATGGCACTTTAGATACAGAGGGTCAAAGGTCACCCCATTAATGGCGAGGTAGTGGGGGCCGCTTCTATTCTAAGAACAATTACAGTTAAAGGAGTAAATGGACAGGCAGTTATGTAATGCTACCATTCACTACATCCTAATGGTCGTTTTTATGGCTTTTGCTGTCTCCATTTTGAAAAATCATGGCTCATGGTCTGCTCAGACCATGAGCCATGATTCTGGTGTCTGGTAGGAGCTGGATTACAAAATTCAAATGTTTAATTTATAGCATGTAATATTTTCAGCTAATATACTAATTATATATGATATTACTATAGATATGATTGCATCGGTGACTTAAAAAACATCATTGCAAAACAATTCAAATGCCCAGAGAGCAACAATCTTGATAGGTCATCTTCATGTTATGAAGTGTTGGCTAAACCCCCTGCCACCCTGTAACACCTGTTCAGAGCCAGGCCTGTTGCTGATGTCGCCTTAACAATCCTCTCCTATGTTGGTATTGAGGAGTTGAGTTGGCTTTTGCCTGGAGTGTGTGTAATAAAGCAATCAATGACACAAACTATTTTAAAAAAGAATCAGATTTTAAATGTCAAGTGACATTTAGATGTAGTTTCTTGAAGAATGTGAGATCAAATGTGCCTCCTGCTCTTGTTACATATTTGTTTTGGTGGTACAAAACATCCAGTTTTGATTCCAGCAGACAGTAATCTTCAGAATAAAAAATGCAACATGCATTTTGTTTAATTATTTTTCAGTACAACAGCCATTACCAGTGACTTGCTTTATGAAGCATTAGACACAG